CTCGAGGAGACAGTGTGGCTTTAGTTTGGTTGAATGGGCAAAGAAAGTTTCTGACTAGAACTCCTTCAAATTTTACATTTGCCAAAGCTCATTCATAAGATGATGTTATGGTTAATAGGCCGGTTTTGTGTCATGCTGACTTAGATTCGTATTCAGTCTCTCCCGAATCATAGTCTCAGTTTCTCCATTTGCAAAATAAGTGCATTCATTTTCAACCTACATTGTTCTTGAGACTCGAGTGATGGAAGATCTATGAAATGCCTAGATTAGCCAAGTGGTCAATGGTCCCAGTTACAGAAGATCCAAAAAGCATCTGCCTAAACCTCACGCAGTGTGTGGCCTTTTCTGGATGTCAGGGTAAAGTGATCAGCTCTCTTCAACAACTCTGGTGGCCATGTCCCAACAGACCAAAGAACTGTAGTTGCTCCTCTGTCCTAGACTGACCATTTTCTGCACACCTGCTCCCCTGAAGACCCAGCATCCCCTATCTCCTTTCCTTTGTCAGCCATTAAGACATCAGGAAATCGTCTCCTAGATGGTTTCTGTTTTTTGATAAAACCTCATCACTCCTTCCCAAACGGTTCTCAGAATCCTTGCCACTCACTTCAGGATACTCGGTTGTTTGTGCTGGATGTAGGAAAGGTTAAACGTTATAGATTATATTTTCATCTCAAACAGGAAAAAATGAGACAAAGACTGCCATAGACCAGACATCTAGTCAGAGTACTCACTACTGGATAATACATTTGTAGTATCCTAATAGTGGGCTGAGTTAAGGAGCTGTACTCCAAAACAGAATCCTAAACTAATTTCTATGCCTATACAAATTTTCATCATTTCAGTTTGAATTTCTAATGTTTTCTACATTGTGGGATAAATGGTTTTAGGCTAGCAATGATCAAGTTATGTTTATTTTATGTATAGGATCAGAATATCTATAAAACATTCACATCTATGATTTTTATAGTGGTTATTGTTTAGGATGAGGCAATTTAAAGTGAAGATATATTTCAAGTCCACTTAAAAATATGTTCAATGACTGTAGTATTATCCCAAATCATAAACATAAGACATATTATACAACTGAGTGAACTTTAAGAAGCATTTGCTTTGAATATTGTTGTAACAAGCAATTTAAGTATGTCTTTCAGAATCTATTGAATTGCAATATAGATTTATTAACCCATAAACAAGCCACATGCTTTATGTGCTTCTCATCTGCATCTAAAAGCAAAGTTCAAGTGCAAAATGAATAAAAGGAAAGGCAGATCTGCTTATATGAAAGTATTTGTGCCATTATACAATTTGGAGTAGAGTTGAAACAGGAAGAAATACTCTTTTTTATTATACATGTCACTGATCCCAAAAGAAAAATTCCTCATATTTATCATGTTTATTGATTAATAAATATGTTGCTGGAATATGAAATATATTAAATAAATTAAATAATTGTGTTTCAGAATGTCATGCAATCTGAATAACTAAATTTAAACAAAAGAGAATCTAAATGGGATGTCTCCATTAAATCCCTTCCCTCAGAAGTCAGGGAACCCCAAGGAAGAAGAAGCAGAAAGACTGTAACAGCTAGAGGGGATGGGGGATACCAGGAGAACATGGTCCTCTGAATCAACTAAGGAAGCCTCTTATGAACACAGAAACTGGAGCAGCAAGCACAGGGCCTACATGGTTCTGCACCAGGTTCTCTTCATATGTATTATAGCTTTTTTAGCTTAGTGTTTTTATGGGACTCCTGAATGTGAGAAAGAGTGGGTCTCTGATCCTTGAGTCTGCTCTTTTCCTCCTGTTGGGTTTCCCTGTCTGACTTTGATATGATGGTTTTTGCTTGATCTTATTATATTTTTATGTTGTCATGCTTGGTTGTTATCTCTTAGAGACCTATTCTTTTCTAATGAACAAAAGAAAGGGAGTGGATCCAGAGGGGAGGAGAAAGGAGGAAGAACTGGGAGGAGAGAAGGAAGTGAAAACTATAATCAGGATATATTGTATGAGAAGAGAATCTATTTTCAAGAAAAGGAAAAGAAAGGGGACAAAAGACTGAGGGGATATCTACTTTACAACATTTCAAACAACATTTCTTGATTATACTCATTCCACTCCCTCCTTTCCTTTTATTTTGAGACTACCTTACTTACAACAGCTGCCCCACCCTCTCTCTGGCTCTTACAATCTTCCCACTCCCTCTTCTGCTTAGATTGAAATGACATCATAAATAATGACGGGACTGGGTTTTGCAGATATCCCCCATAACTGGAGATCTGTGGGGATAGAGTTTTCTGCCCCTCAACAGTAAGTGAAAGTGGTGAAATAAACTGCATAAATGAATAAACACTTTTAGAAAGAGGCTGCATTAACTATGGGTCTTTTCCTGACATTCATTTTGTCACTCAAATGTTGATTTAGTCACTTCACCACTGCATTTAACTGTCTTGTTTTATTTGGACAACAGAGATTCGATCTAGACAGAGCACAAGGACATTAAAGACAAAAGTGTATGAAGGAGAATTATTGAAGCCTAAAGAACAAATTGTAAGACAATCAAAATGACGCTGGATTCATCTTCCATTTTTAAGTCTTACTCTTCTAATAAGGCTGCATTTTCTTCCTTTCTCTAACTTTTAGTGTTGATGAACTAATCTGAGGGGATGAGAATGGTGAATTCAAGTCTGTGATGCTACTGTGATATCAGAGTCCTCAAACATATCAGAACAGTAGGGAGTATTCAGCACATGGCTTTTGGGGACAGGTGTTAACGTACAAAGGCAGAAAGACCAGAAGAAGAAGAAGAAAGAAAGAAAGAAAGAAAGAAAGAAAGAAAGAAAGAAAGAAAGAAAGAAAGAAAGAAAGAAAGAAAGAAAGAAAGAAAAGAAAGAAAGAAGGAAAGAAAGAAGGAAAGAAAGAAAGAGAGTAAAAGAAAAGAGAGAGCCTCAGAATGCTTGGACAGCACATGAATTTGCCCTTGTATTCCAGATGTGACACCACTGGGGAATTCTGAATTAGAAAACATCACTGAATCCTGGTTTGGATCCTTCATGTAAAAAATGGGAGAAGTTGAGCATGGAACTTTTCCTCAGATATATATCTCACTCAAGTTTAAAAAAGTCAGGAAAGGAAGCACTTGGGAGTAAATGACAGAAAAATCAACACAGGATGATACCCCAGCTGGTTTTGTCAAGCAGTGGAATGACTGGGATGGAAAGAGTAGAGTGAGGGGCTCTCATTTGCCTTAATATCCTCTTCAATTAGAAAGAGCAGTGGGACTAAGAAGCGAGGGAAGTCACAGAAGGGCTATTGTCCGATAGCCAGAACACTGTCACACCTTGGTAGAAAGGGGTTTCTGAAAGTAAAGGTTTTACTTGAATTTCTTCTTCTTCTTCTTCTTCTTCTTCTTCTTCTTCTTTCTTCTTCTTCTTCTTCTTCTTCTTCTTCTTCTTCTTCTTCTTTTGTCTTTTCCTTTTCTTTTTTGCATTTTGAGACAGAATTTCTCTGCGTAACAGCTCTGAATGTCCTGGAACTCACTGTAGACCAAGCTGGCCTCAAACTCATGGAGATCTGCCTACCTCTACCTCTAGTGCTAAGATTAAAGGTGTGTGCCACCGCAGCACAGTTTAATTGGATTTCTTTCCTCATCCTAACTAAATTTGGATTCTCATGGTGTAAAGGGTTCGTTGGTGTTGGTGAAACGCCAGCAGTATTTGGTTCCTAATGAACATAACTTCTAGACTTACCTCACCCCCAAAGATTGAAAAACTCACAGGCTGCTTGTGAGTGAAGGGGAGTTGAAAATGTTACTAATTGCCAGATCTTTGCATTAACTAAATATGAATAAGTTAGGTAACGTTTAATCCAGATCCATAGCTGGATAAAACTGTTTAGATAATGTAGCAGGAATCTTAGAAGGTCTTATTAATAAAATCAAACGTGAGGCCAGTTATTGGGGTGAATGCTGGATGGTCAGAGAAGAAGAACAAGCCACAGCCAACCTCACCTTGCTAGTTCCTCAGCTGATCCTGTTTCCTCAGACTGGATACCTCTGAGTCCTCATCCAGAATGGATCTCAGCTGAATTGCTGCTAGAAGCCTGAAAGCTTAACCAGCCAAATGCTTTTAGTTTCTGGTCTTCACGCCTTATATATAGTTCTGTTTTTGCCATTACTCCCTGGGATTAAAGGCTCACTTCTTTGGATTAAAGGTGTGTGTCGGCCGGGCGGTGGTGGCGCACGCCTTTAATCCCAGCACTCGGGAGGCAGAGGCAGGCGGATCTCTGTGAGTTCGAGGCCAGCCTGGGCTACCAAGTGAGTCCCAGGAAAGGCGCAAAGCTGCACAGAGAAACCCTGTCTCGAAAAACCAAAAAAAAAAAAAAAAAAAAAGGTGTGTGTCACCATGCCTGGCTGTTTCCAATGTGGCCTTGAACTCACAGAGATCGAGGGATTTCTGTCTCTTGAATGCTAGGACTAAAGGTGTGAGTGCCACCATTTTCTAGCCTCTGTATTAGTGGCTGTCTGTTCTCTGACCCCAGATAAATTTATTAGGTTGCACAATATTTTGAGGAACACAATACCACCACAAGATAACCTTAATCAGTCCATACTGTTTACACAAGATTGTTTGGTATAATTTTTAAAAGTATATTTTGTGACCAAAATTCTAGTTCATTTTTCTACAAATACAAATGTTTCTGAAATTCTCCACATTTATTACATATTGAGAACATAGGTACTAATAATATTGCTTCGTTCTTTCAATATATTGCTGTATATTTAAGTGGTTGAGACAGTCAACATACATAATACATAAATGACATCATTTCGAGTAATGATAAGTTACAGGAAAAACAGGTGGTGTCGTCTCTTCACTGTGTTGGGTGGCATTAGGCCAACCCCTTACGCACTGTGGAACTCCATACGCCTGGGAGATGAATACATGACCAGCCATTTCTTCTGACCCTGAGCCACACATTTCTCACCTCTAATTCTTTTACAGGAACAAGCAACCAAGGAGAAAAGAAGAGATGGGAATAGCTAAGAGGCGACTGCATTAGGAGAAGACGGAATCAGAAAAGGGATGTCCGCCTGTGACTACATGACAGTCAACAGACTAAAACTGTGTTCTGATTCGGTGATGTATGAACGCATATAGCATGTAACGACAAGCACTGTAACTGAGTATTTTGCTTTTAAAAACTTGTCTTTAGAAAATGACCTTTAAAATCTGTTTTTTGTTTGTTTTTGCTCTTTAATTTGGAACTTTCTCCAGGAAAACTATTCAGCCACAAATCACTACCTGGATAATTCACTCTGCCTAGTGCGTGAATTGTTATATAAAGTGTCACATACCAGGTTTTTTCTTTTACAGAGATTTATGGGATGTGGTACTACATTTTCTGGAATGCTTCCACTGTGTTCTGGGGTATTTTCTTTTGCTCCTCCAGGTGCAAAATCAAGTTGATAACAACGGGAAGCGGGCTTGTCAGTGCTCTGCTCCTGCCTGAGCTTGGAAAAGTACAACACAAACCCACACTCCCCGGCACCCCCACCGGCCCCCCAGCTGCTGTCGACAGCAAGCTGGACTGCCTCCGGAAGGGCTTTTGAGATTTTATGCATAATGTGGACATGCTTTTCAGACATAGTTTGGTTTTTTGTGTGTGATATTTTTCAAGCTCTTTTCCTCAATTTCATTTCCCTCTAAAACTAGAAGGGAGAACTTGAATTTGGGTAAATTTTAACTGAATTGTTATAATTCTTCTACTTGTGAAATCTGAGACTTCTCTTATAATGGGGAGGCTTTCAAACACATTCCCTTTGTTTCTGTTTCCAATTCCACCGTGTTTATTTATCCCCTTGTTGCTTTTTCAAATTCCGCTGGTCTTGATTCGGTTTAGTTCCGTGGATCTTTTGGAAGTTTACATGACTAAGCCCTTGGGAACAGTGAAAGGGATAATATTGTCCTTACTGTAAATATAGCTTGTAAACTATGCTAGTTAATATTGGTTCAGTTCTTTACAGTTCATGAGGTGGCTTCACTTAGGTTTCTCAGTTAGTAAGCTCATTAAATGGGTCTAGTAGGTAAGGTTCACTTTATAGATACAGACTTACTTCACTTAGGTTTCTCAGTTAGTAAGCTCATTAAATGGGTCTAGTAGGTAAGGTTCACTTTATAGATACAGACTTAACTTCACAGATAAGAAGTGAACTCATAACTCAACAAGCCTTTCCATTAGTTTATGTCCATGTATGAAACTGTCAGAGCTGTGAGGACAGGACCCATAGGCTCTCATGTTTCCTGCAATGGCCTATAGAGTGATTCATAACTAAATCTCTGGAGTTGCAAGAATAAAACACAAGATAATTTTCCTCACGTGGTAAGGGTGGGGAAAAGATTCCTAGTTCTTGAATTCTTCAGCGCTGACTTAAACTAAGGTGATTCGTGCAAAACCAAACAAGTGAAGCAACCCTCCAAGAAGCTGGGCAGTTCGTTTTTCTGTTTCTCCTCCTTCTTGTCCTCCTCCGTCTCCCTCTTGACTCCCTCCTTCTCTTCCTCCTCCTGCTCTTCCTCCTCCTGCTCTTCTTCCTCTTCTTCTTCTTTTGGCTTTTGACACAGGGTCTCACTATGTAGCCTTAGCTGGCCTGGAACTCATTACATAGACCAGGCTGGCTTCAAAGTCATTGAGATCCACCTGCCTCTCCAGTGGAGTACTGAAATTAAAGGTATGCACCACATGCCTTGCTTAATGTTTCATTTTAAAAATATTGTCTAGTTTCAGAAGGCTGGAGAGATGGGTCAGTGGGTAATAGTACTTGCTCTGCAAGCATGAAGACCTGAGTTCAAATCCCAGCATGCAAGTAAAAAGTCAAGCATGGCTGTATATATCTGCAACTCCAGCGTTTAGGGGAACAGAGACAAGTGGATCCTCAAAACTGGCTGGCCAGCTAACCTAGAGTAAATGGTGAGCTTCTAGTTCAGTGAAAGACCCAGTCTCAAGGCAGGAAGGCTGAAACAACAGAGGAAAACACCTGAGGTCTTGTTCTGGCCTCTTGCACATGTGTCCAAGGGCACCTCCCCCCCCCCCCCCCCGCCCCCGTCACTCACATACACATAGCCATACACTAACACCAACACATGCCCACAAACATTTCAAAATTTGTTCTTAAAAATAAACGGCTATCTCTGGGAGTGGAGAGATGGCTTATTGGTTAAGAGCACTGGCTGCTCTTCCAGAGGACCCAGGTTCAATTCTTAGCACCCACATGGCAACTCACACCTGTCTGTAACTCCAGTTGCAGGGGATCTGACATTCGCACACCAATGCACATAAAATAAAATTTAACTACTATCTCAAAATGAGAGTATTGCCAAGTTTGTGCCAATATGCGATAAAGATATCATATTATAAATTACAAAATAAACATGAAGGTTGTTTTCTTTCATTTCTTTCACCTACTCTGCCCAGGACTTGAGACATGATAATTTTCATTTACTTCTCTTAGAATTTGGACTTCAAAATACCATATTTCTCAAAAGTACCAAAGGTATGGCTTTCTTTACATGAACCACAGCAACAAGACAATGAGAACTTTAAATGCAAATAGCTGGCAGATAGCTGAAGAGTTCTTCAATTGTTTTAGGTGGTTATTTTTTCTTTCTTTCTTCATTGTTTCAAGAAACATGTTCTAAGACATGACACAGACAGGCAGGCTTCTCACTTCAGTGGACCTGCAATGCAGTCTCTGTGGCTGAGATTCCCTCGTCACATTAATTACATTACCATATGCTGCTGTCTGTTTTCTTCTTTTGCCCTAATGGGACATAGATTTCTTGGTTTGAATTTGTTACTTGGTTATTACATTTGCCAAGTTGTTTGAAACACTTAGGAGCCTCTTTATTTGATTTTGAGAATATATGGTCTAAAACCTGAGCCTTGGCATGAAGGTCAATGAGATCAAAATAGGAATTGTCCCACTAAATATTGCTTTTGTATGTCAGCTTAAGCTTGGTTGTTAAAAATTAGAGTTCACATTGAAAATAGATGATAAAAATATTTTTGTTGAAATCACAGGAAAATATTAAAAATTAGGCATTGCCATTAAATAACCCCAAGCTATATCTGTTTAAATAATTTATCACAACATTCAAGAGAAGACACAGTCACCAAAGTCAATTTCTTTGTTTATAGAATGTGAAATTTAGATGTGTGTCTATTGAGAAATAGGAGTTGTCCATGTATTGTATTTATGTATGCAAATATACATATAAGTACAATGAATAAGTGAAATGGTTTGCAACAGTGAAATAAAAATAAAACCTTTTAAAAGAAAAGAAATAGCCTTCTCTATTAAGTAAAAAACAGAGGTGATTATTTGTTAATAAATACTTCTCAATTATTTCCAATCTTCTGTGTTGAAGTAGTCCAGAAAAGAATGGCATAAGAAAGCTGAGAGGAGGCAAGGTTAATCTTTTCTCTCTGCCGGTCCCTTGACACATGCTGCCTCTTGGTAGATTTCTGCCCCCAGGTTATCCCCACATGAGGGTGCCTGCTGCTCTGAGGCTGCTTATAATAGCATGTACTCTCTGGTGAGTTTGAAGATTATGATTACATTGACTCATTTGGCTTCTAGACTGTGTCTAATTCATGAGTCACAACATGTTTGTTACTCTTAGATGGTGCCTTCTATATCATGAATTACCTTCTGCTTTCTTGTTTGGGTAATGGGAAATCTGGCAGATGGGATTCAACTGGAGTGTGTGTGTGTGTGTGTGTGTGTGTGTGTGTGTGTGTGTGTGTGTATATGTGTTATACTTGTAGTTCAGCAGTTCTTATATTTTTGGTTGTGAGCCTAGCCTTTAACGGCTGAGCTATCTCTCCAGCCCAGTTCAGCAGTTCTTAACCTGTGGGTCATGACCCCATTGTGGACTGCATATCAGATATCCTGTATATCAGATATTTATATTACAATTCATAATAGCACCAGAATTACAGTTATGAGGTAGCAATGAAATACTTATAGGGTTGGGGGTCACCACCACATGAGGAACTGTATGAAAGGGTCGCAACATTAGGAAAGTTGAAATCCACTGTTGTAGTTGTGTGTTTGCTTGTTTTCTGGGGTAGGGTGTGGCCTGGTAACAGCTATGTAGATCGGGCTAAGCTTTAATTTGTGGTGTTCCTCTGTGTCTGCATGCCAACTTCTGGGATTATAGGCAGGTACCACTGTACCCACCAGGTCAGCAGCCTTGCTTTTGTTGTTATAGTTTGGGAAATTGCAATTTTTGTTGCTTCTTGGGCACTTGAATCACCAATAATGTGTTTTATTTAACAAGCTATTAAGGAACTATAAAGGCCTTTGCTATTTTAGCTTTATGTTAATATCTATCTCTTCAATGGTTGCATTAAATTTTTTAATTCTAAAATTAGATTGTCTGCATAATATATCAGCTGGTAATCAATCAACATTTTCATCTCTACTTATTTATTTGTACATGTACATCAACCTGTATCTTACTCCCAACATATCCATATCATTTTCACCTATATCACATATGCCTTTGTTATGCTTTGAGTTATTGATAATTTGATCTTGATTGCAGAATGGCTGGCTTATACTTTTTATGGAACAACTCTCCCCCATTGTGTGAGCCTTTAGAATATTGCTACTAAGTTAAATCTAGGCTATATTATTGAAATTATAAACATCAAGAGACTTTATGGGAAGTGGGTACAGACTCTGGAATGGTATTTCTTTTATGAATCCTATCATTTCAGTGTTTTCCTACATGCCACATAATGTTTTCAGCATCTTACATTTAATCATTTCAATAACCCTAAAAGAGAAATATTCTTACTATCTCCATTTTAAAAATGAGAAGAAAAAGCTTGTACAAAACCACAAAGTCAGTAAATGACAAGCCCAAAATTGAGCCTGGGGCCACATTTCAGCAGTAGGTAAAGAATTTCTTGCCTTGGGTCTTCCATACAAAACTCAACAACAGCAGTTAAAAAAAGTAAGTGTCTGGAAAAATACCAACTAATATTCATTTCTGTTCACTGTGGATCAGCAGTGTTTCAAGCACTCTTTTGACCCTTAAAATATTCTTCATTATTATTTTACCATTTCATCAATATCTTTATGACTAAAGGTTAGGAAATGTCAGTGTTAATTGCTAGCAGCCACCAGTGATTGAGAATTAAAGTCATTCTGCTTGAAAATCCAATGGGGTTCCCATACTTAATCACTAAGTTTACAAGACATCACTAGGAAATGTGAGCTTGGCTCCTGAACAGTGTTATAGGATCCGTTGTTATTGCTAAGCATGTGCAGCAGCAGATGTGTTTCCCCAGGGTAGACAGGGCCATGGAGAAGCCATAATGCTTCTCCTGTATAATTCATGTTCGCTTTTAGTAAGCTATTAAGAATTAAGAATTAATGCACTCTCCATTTGTCTGCTCTGAGAAAAACAAGAATGTTTAGGGATTCTGTAGATCTGTAGGACTTCTGAAACAGGCATCGTTTTGACTGAATCAGCTAGTAAGGTAATTCGGAAATTAACTCAATCTGATATCAATCAGGAAAAATAAAAATAAATCCCTTCAAACATGTTTACACATGTATCTATTCAATAATATGCACCAAGTACCAACAGTGTTCAGCACTTTCTAACCATCAAATCCAGCAATGAGAATAGCTTTGTGGGAGAACTGCATCTGTGTAGATCTTTGGAGAAAGAGCAGGGGAGGGGCAGGATAAGATAGCCCAGAGAACAGCAAGACCAGGCAAGGGAGACATTGCCTATAAAGGCCTGGCAGAGACCCACAGCAGCATACCCTGTGAAGAAGGCCATCAGTATGAAGACAGGTTGTTCTGAGACAGTGAGGGTGTTACATGTAATGCAGACAGGTCAGGGGTGCTCAATGTGAGGTCTGTAGCACAGGTTATCTCCATCTGAGATGGAAGACTTTGGAGAAGGATGTGCATGTTGCTTGATAAAGGTTGGGGTCCAAATTGCTAAGTGCTTTGTTAGGAAATAGGTCCATGTGTAACTCAAGCCAAGTAGAGTCCTGATAGCTAAGCAAGTCCTCTACTTGCCTCTCTCAAAGGGCACAGAGTCTTTGTCTTGAAACAGTCCCATGTGTTCCCTGGGCTCAATATGTCATATGGCCAGACTTTCTAGACACTGACTTAACCAAGATGAGAACAGACTGAACTTTGTAATTGATTTAAAGAGAGAGAGAGAGAGAGAGAGAGAGAGAGAGAGAGAGAGAGAGAGAATATATTGAGTGACGAAAAAGATGGGGAAGTTGCAAGAGGAAAAGAGGGAAAGGGAAGAGAAACAAGATGAGGTAGTGTGATGAAATTAGGGCTACAAAGCCTAAAATCTTTACTTTACTTATGGAAAAAATTGCTGACATCTGATGTAGAAGGGAAATTTTTTATGAAGAGGAATGAGGGGTTCAGTGAACAAGGGTTCCGATCTCAGCATTCACCTAATAATTCTACCCCAAAAGTGCCTGTAACTCTAAGACTGGCAGATCCAATGCTACTTTCTGGCCTCCATGAACAAAAGCTTGTGTGCACGTGTGTGCGCGTGCGCACGCACACACACACACACACACACACACACACACACACACACACACACACACACAAAGAGAGGGGGGTATAAATACCTTAAAAAGAGGAAGAGGAACAGTAGGGAGATTTAATTAACAGAAAAGAATGGGGGGATCTGAAACTGGGAAGCAGCCAAATATTCACCACAATTAAGGTATAAAGACCTAAGCAATGGAAAGCTCTTCAAACAGCAAGAAGAGACAGGTCTATCAACCTTCAGCAATAGCATCATTTAATTTTAAAGTGATCCACACTGTGATAAGTTTCTCAGCAACTGAAGAAACCAGAGGCATGCCCAGTTCAGCCATTTCTTGGGAGCTCAGTTTGATGTAGCTTTGAATTGATGCTGGGATTGAACCTCATGCCTGTTAAGTACATGCTGGCATGATTTGATTTTGAGAGAGCAGGAAGGTTAAGGGGGCTTTAGTTCTGGAGCCTATATCTTAAGTCTGGGTCTTCTAATATAGAAGACACTTGAACATACTGTTTTGCTGTTCATTTTTATCCCTTTATAGACAGTGTGGTGTTACAATAATAGTTACCTCTTATAGTTTCTGTTAGAATTAATAAGTTGTTAAAGGTAAAGAGTAAAGAACTTCACAGATCTATGTATGTACTCAGTGCATAGAAGGTATTATGTGTTCACATATATTTGCACTGCAACCATAAACAAATACTACTATAAATGGATACATTGTAGCTAATACTTTTAGTGTTGAATCAATAGATTCTACATTCCAGTCCTACCTGGGGATAAAGGTATAAAAAAGACCATTAACCTTCTTCCAACTGCCGGTGAACACATTACCTAAATCTGTGTACTTAATCCTCACCAGAACTCAAAGAAATAAATCCTGAAGGCATTCAGGAAAGGACAGTAGAATTCAACACATCAACTTCAACCCCAATGAGTTAGGACATAATGTCTGCAAGATTTGTTAAACTACAGGAGAAGAAAGTAACAAGAAATAAACCTCCTCTTTCATGGCATGTTTAGTCTACCTTGGAGGCGAAGTGAAGAATTCTATTTTGATTAATGGTCTGTATAATAAAAAATGGAACTGGTTTAAAAGCAAGTGAACTATATGTACATTTTTTTTTATTAAAAAGCTCTCTTGTAAAAGCAAGTACTTTCATATAGTTACATCTTCCAAAAGGGAAGGTGTGGTTTCAATTAATTGGAGGAGGGGATATAAAACATAGTTTGCAAGTTGTGTGCATGTGTGCATGCGTGCGTGCGTGCATGCATGCATGCGTGTCTGTGTGTGCGTGCATGAGTGTCTATGTGTGTGTGTGTGTGTGTGTGTGTGTGTGTGTGTGTGTGTTTGTGTATGGTGTGGTGTGATGTGGTGTGGTGTGGTGTGTATGGTGTGTATGTGTAATATGTTCTTGTGGGTGCATATGTGTCAGGGTTCATGTCACATATATGCACATATGTGAAGAAGTCCAAGTTCAGCACTGGCTGCCACCTTGTTTTCTGAGACAGAATTTTTGATTGGCCTTACAGGCTAGACTGGATGGTTAGTGAGCCCAAGGGATCTGCCTTTCTTTCTTCAGCAACACTGGGGTCACAAATGCAAGCTAGCATGCATGCCTCATTTCCTATACTTGGGGTCTGCAGATTGAACTTAGATCCTCAAGCTTGCACGGCAAACATTTTACCAACTGAGCCATCTCAGCCTGAGTTCTGAAATTTTAAGTCTCTAATATTTTATCTGGTCATTAGGCTCCGTACACTCAAACAAACACAAATACACACTACATATAGATACAGGACAGTAAAATGCATTCACACACAATGCACAGATTCTTATTTCCAAATGGACTCTATCTTAACTGATTTACAAATGTGTACGGTATTTATGATAAAAGTCATTTCTAACAAGTGAGCTCTGGTATAGTTTAATGTCTTCAGGATGAGCATGCAAGAAACTGTAAATGATGACTTATTTCTGCATCTGATAATAATTTAGATATGAATGAAGGTTTTCCAAATAAATTGAAGGGGAAAAATCAGAATTTCCTGTCATCTTCCAGAGCCAAAGACTTGGAAAATGAAACAAGAGAAGTAACTTCCTTTTCCTGGGGGTTGGGGGGATCCTTTCTGTACTCTCTAATTGTGATCTAGAGAATGGATCCACAGCAAACTCCCTTTCTTGGGAAAGGAGATTTTAATTCACTGCACTGACAAACTACTACTGGTCATGAACCTTCATCATATTACATTGTCCTCAAGATATGTATACTTGGCTTTATTTATTTCAAGATGTAATAGTACTTAGTGACTGCTATTAGGAATTCTCTGGGAGTTTATACAATGCATTTTTGATTTTTCTCTGCTATTTTGAAATTCAAATTGACCATACATGGAATAACCACGATTTTGTCCCTGCTCCAAGACCTACTTTGAGGAGAATTGAATGCTATATAGGTTTTGTATTCAGCTAGAATGATTTAAAAGTTCATCAGACTTTTCCATGATGGAAATTCAAAGTGGAAAATAAACACCCAAATAAGGCAATTGCAGTCTTGGCTGAATTATAGTGGGTCTTATAACCAATATTCAAAAGACAGAAAACTGTACTCTTGTAGGGATAAGGAAGGTGGTCATCATGTAGAAAACATTGCCCAGCTGAATATAAGTACTTCAAATCATGTTTTCTTGGTAAACTAAAGAATTATTTGTCTATAGCAGCTCCTCTTGTCCCTGAAAAACACCTTGATATTTATCTAATTCTAATCTTTCCCTCCTTCTATGTCACCCTACAGTCCTACTAAGACTAAGGTCTGTCAGCCACAACCCTGTGCTTCTTTGAACTATTCACCTTGTGATGCACCCAGATCCCCTCTCTTCCATTAATGCACCTAAGTTCCTTGTTTTCTTTCTTTATTCTTGTATTTTGTGTTTTGTAGCTCAAATCATTTACCTCTTCCAACTTTAGAACAACCCTTTGCCTTTCATTCTGGGTGATGTTTAATATACTTTCACTCTGCCCCACACACTTCAAATCTGTTTTACATATATCTCTATGTTCCAAAGTTTCCCCGAAAATCAGGCAGACAAAAATGAAACACATTTGAGGCTAGTAGTTTTGCAACATATTTGTCATTTGTGAAAGGTAATATTGGTCATTGTAAACCTAATAATGTAAGCACAGTATGTAGTAGACCAACAGCAACCAGGTAAGTTGTGGTAATTAGTTTGGTAAATTTCTTTTTATTTCCAGATTTTTTTTAAAAAAATAGGGGTTTCATTTGACTTATTTTATGTATATGTGTGTATGCACTTATGGATGTACACCATTTGATGCCCTGTACTTGCAGAAGCCAGAGGATAGCATCAGATCCTCGGAGACAGAAGTTACACTTGATTGTGAGCAACCCATGTGCTGGAAATTCAAGAGCAGTATGCACATTTAATGGCTGAGCCATCTTTCCAGAATTTATTGTTCTGAAAGTCAAATGTCCCACAATGTCTTCCAAAGTCCTCATTGGTCTTCCTAATTACTCATATAGGTAATCACATTTACTTATACAATACTTTAAAGAAATCAATATAGCTTTGGATCCATAATATGTGTTGGCGGGAATGAGGGCACATACAAGAGTCACAAACACTTATTAACCACCTCTGTCTGAAAAAAAATCATTGTATTTAAATGCTTAGTAGACACTTAGAGCTACCTTACATTCTTTGAATATCACATATGATATCCTCATACTAAGGAAAAAATTCCTATCACCCATGAATATCAAAAACAGTTCATGGAGGGATATCAGGCTTAACTGATTGCTAACCACACAGCATTTGTTTGCTATTAGGTACTGAAAAGTCTGCCTTCTTAGAGCATTAGTTTTAGGAATAAATGTCAGCAAAATGGGAATAACTAATAGAAATGGTGGGTAGATTGTTGCCTTCTGATTTTTAGACACCAAACCTTGGCTCTTCCTCTTCTTCGATACACGATTTTACACACATTATTTTAAACTTTTGCCATACCTGCTTATTGTAGATGGGATCTATTCTTCTCAAGGAGTTGATATTGGGAATAGGAAGGATAAAAAAATAGGGTAGCAGAGACAAAGGACCTCATGAAGTAAAAGTGACTCTGAATCACCCTTCCTGTTTCTCTCAGCTCTGAGTGTTGAGGGCACTGCTTATTTTTTTCTTAATGAATAAACAGAACATACATATTATCAACAAGAGACAGGGACCACTATCACCTACCATGCATGGAAATCTTGAGAAACTCTACAAACCAAGGCAAAACAGAAGCCCAGTAAAGAGACTTAAAGAACAAAATCAGCACACAGAGTGTAAGATGTGGTGGGTTCTTGTTGCTGTTTTGAAATATTTTATTTGATTTTTAATTATGTGTATAAGTGTGTGTCTTGTGGTAGTGTATGCACATGAGTGGAAATATCTTCAGAGGCCAGTATCCTCAGATGGTGTCTGATCACCTGGAGATGGAGTCAGAGGAAGCTGTGGGCTGCCTGGCATGAGTGCTGGGAACTGAACTCAGGGCCTCAGCAAGAGCAATATTTGTGCTTCATCCCTGAGCCATTCAAGTTCAGGTCCAAAGGAAGCTGTGGTTTTGAAGATGGAAGATTTCCGAAAGGTTATCCACAATACAGAGAAACAGAATGAAATGGGGTTGAAGTCAGTGAACCAGCTGCAGCAAAAAAAAAAAAAAAAAAAAAAAAAAAAAAAAAAAAAAAAAAAAAAAAAAAAAACGAGAAAGTACTGAAGAGCAGGCATTAAAAGCTGTGCAAAAGCTTTGAAAATGTTCCATGGGTTTATGGCGAAAATAAAATCCAGATGTTTACAAAGAATAAAGAAAACCAGAAGTAGAATAATACCCGGGAAGGGATCCACTGAGCCACTACGTTGGTTCTTGTAAGAGTGCTGTAAGGCTAGGGTTTTTATTACTGTGAAGAGACACCATCACCACAACTCTAATAAGGAATACATTTAACTGGGGTGGCTCGCTTTTAGTTTCAGAGGTTCAGTCCATTATCATCATGGCAGGGAGCATGGTGGCATGCAGGCAGCCATGGTGCTGAAGCTGAGAGTGCTAATCTTGCAGGCAATGGGAAGTCAACTGAGACACTGGGCATAGGAAACCTCAAAGTCCACCCCCACAGTGACACACTTCCTCCATCAAGGCCATACCCACTCCACCAAAGCCACATCTCCTAATAGTACCACTCCCTATGAGATCATGGGGGCCAATTACATTCTAACTACCACAAGTAGTCAGCAAACAGAAGCAGAGCACTCCTTAGGGAATCTCCAACTGGACCTGCTTTTACCCTTCCTCTTCTTGAGCGTGCTGCCTGATGTTTGCCCCTGGGCAGAAATCCTTGAAGTCTTTTCCATGGGCCGTCTCCTCCCCAAGTCGTTCAGATATATCACCATAAACGGGATTTGTTCTAGATCTAGATCTAAATAAAAACTGTTTTATAGACCCCAGCTGGCTCAAAGTGGCCAGGATTATGTTTTCGGTACCCTTGAAGACAATGGCTATCCTGAGGACAAGGGTCAAGATAAGCACGATGACGGTCTGACAATAGTGATGCCACTAGATGGCGAGAATGAGGGGGTGAGTCTGTGCATGGCAGTGACAGTATGCCAGACATCAATATCGAAGGATACAGCAGGGCTGAGAGTGTGGTGGACAGAGATGCTTGGAAAAGTCAAGGAAGAAAAGGGAAGTGAAGGGGTGTCATAAAGGAACTGTTTCTTTTTCAGTCCGTGGAGCACTGAATGACAAGTTAGGATGTGCCTGAGGAGAAACGGGCCTAGAAGCACTTTCAGAGGATAAGGATGAATCAGAAACAGAAAAGCAGTCAAAGTTGGCATGAAAAGGCTTATCATTCTGAAGACTCTTCTGATGCTCACGCATAGGAGCAGGCTTCCCCACCTTTCCCTCCCCCCTCAATAAAAGCACTTCCCATAGTAAGACCACTATGTCATGGATCAATCCTTTCTCTACCTTTCTGGCCTCCTGATCTACCTACCGGCCTTCCTCCGGGACATCTCGGATATCTCCTCCATTTCTGAGAACACCTGGGATGTCGGAACTCTGAGTGCTTTTACTATTACTTTTTACCTCCAGGACTATCCCCAAACTTACCTCACTAGCCTTGCCTCGCTGTTGAACTCCATCTATGCCTCCTGATCCTCCTTCTTGGGCACCCCACTAAGGCCACAACACATATTTCCAGTTATCTTTTTACCTCATCCTGAGAAGATGAATTCACTTTTGGTGGCTTCACTTAGGTCCCTGGACCTGTCACACCTGATCCTTTCCCTTGAGTTTCCTAGCTGAGTTCAGAGGTATAAGTTCCCCCAAGCAATTGCTTCGGTGTCACAAGGTGGATGGTACCAACGCAGCCATTATTGAGGGAAAGCCACAGCAACCATCAGTACCACACCACAGATCACTAAATCCAAGGCAGAGATACCTTAGTTGCTGCCCACCACATAGAAAGTGCTGCTAGAGAATAAAAGACCCACTGCTACCCACGAGGAAAGTGTGCTGTTCTGCTGTGCCCCATGCTGAAGTGGTCCTGACTTAGTATCTACTGAGGATGTTGCATTGGATGCTTTCATGAAAAAGATGGAAGGGCTGCTGTGCTAGCTTTTGATTCCAGAACAGGCTTCTGCAGGACTTTGGTTCATGGAACCATAAAGGGGCTTTTTATTGAGCTTAGATAAAAAGTTATTCCCCTCTCAGGGTACTTTTAAATATCAGGGCAAGGCACAGCCTAGAGGTCAACTCTGTTTAGAAGTTACTGGACAGACAAGGTATTTTCAAAAGTGTGAACATCTAATCCCTGCTGTGCCACATTTCATCCAGCTATTTCCCCCCTCCTGTGGTTCTTTAGAAAGATGTGATCAGGGCTCTTTGTTCTGGTCTCCTTTTGAGCATGGTAAGCAACAAGTAGATGTTTCTGAAGAACCAGTTCCTTTCACCTTAACTTTTGTGTTGGAGTGACTTTTAATATTTTCTTCTAAACATTTATCTGATTTTTTTTTTACAGTGAGATGGGTCACGAGGTCACTTCCTAAAAAGTAGAATGTGCTGGGGAAATTAATTCCTTAATTAAACTATTTTCCATTCACCTAAACTTTGGGTGTTTTATGGGAAAAAATGTTCACTATTAAAATAAAAGAGAGAAAATAGTATAATGCAGGAATGCAGAAAAATGAAATAAATAATTAATCTTCAATTATTTGAGAGTAATAACATGTTCATTTGAGACATAGAGAGCTGTCCAATTTCAGAAAAATCTACTAAAATGCCCCAAATAGCCGGGCGGTGGTGGCGCACGCCTTTAATCCCAGCACTTGGGAGGCAGAGCCAGGTGGATCTCTGTCAGTTTGAGGGCAGCCTGGTCTACAGAGCGACATCTAGGAAAGGCACAAAGCTACACAGAGAAACCCTGTCTCAAAAAACAAAACAAAAAAGTCCCAAATAGAATATAGATATGAATATATAGGATTTGCATATTAAGTATTTAGAGTTCTTCCACAGAAATACTAATGCAATACATGGCATCATTACTGTCCTTTTGACTCTAAAATAGTCATTGTCCTTATTGCCTAAAATCTGTACTAAATGATGGATAAGCAGCCATACTGTCATTCTCTTTTTCACATGGCCTTCTACTCCTCTGTACTTCTGCACACTCCACATAGATGTAGTAGGAAGAATAGGTCTTTGGGTACTACAGACATCATCCAGAACCAAATTGGTGGCATTGGCCTCTGAACTGCATGGATTTGGACAAGTATTCTTCTCTGAGATGTGGCTTTCTTTGAGTGTACCAATGCTACACTGCTAGATTATTATTAGAATAAAAATATTTGTTAATAATTTACATGGAAGCCACACATGGAAAACCTGCAATCATTTTATTTTCTTGTTATTTATTTCTTTTGTCAACTCATGTCCTAGAATGGAAATGGTTACCTTTGCATGTGGCATTCTGAATACTACATATAAAGTACAGTAGGGTTGCCTCATCTGTAAAACTTGAGGTTTCTAGAAAAGAGACTCTCATTTCCATATCTATATGTGAGCTATGCTTTTAGCCAGGCATTTGCATCTAGTGATATAATGATCAAGGATCGTTTCCTTTCTAGAACCAAGCCATGCTCTGAACAACTCAGATCAGTTTATTTGTTTGTTCCCAGTTTCTCCATATTTCCCCAAGCTTTCAAAAATCCATTAAAATAAATTAAACTGAATACTAAATGGGTCAGGATATTTTCCATCAAATGTGATTTATTTAGCAATCATGTATAGTAGGAAATACAGAGAGTTACAGCATAATAAAAACACAAGAGTTGTAGGCTGCCATGTTAAAAATGTAAAGTTCTGGTTAAATGAAAAGGCATATGAACTTGCAAGTATATGGTGGGTAGCTGTGAGTGAAAATGCAAAGCAGTTGCAGCAGCCTATGGAGGGAGATAGTCCTGTCTCACAACGTGGACTCACACACCAATATCTGTAGAGGGACAGCACATGTGACCTCCGGTCTGAGCCCTGCTTATTAGTGCCCAGTAGGAGTGGTCTTGCAGAGAGAACAAGGAAGGAAGGAATGTGGAAGGCCAAAGGCAAAATAGGAGACAAGTTAGGGAGAGGGGAGATAGGAAGAGAGAGAGAAAGGTGAGAAGAAGGGTAAGTGTGACAGCTCTGAACAGTGTGTCTCCCCAAGTCCCCCTGCAAGTCAGTCACAGTGCTGTGTAAGTCACATAACTTTGACATTTCGGGTAGCACATAGACACGGACCAATGTATATATTCCTCCATTTATATTAACAAAGCATGGAAATCAAAGGAACAAAGTGGGTATATTTTCTATGCCATGAGCGGAGCAGGCTTACAATTAATTCTTCTCTCCAGAGATTCTAGCTTTACTTAAAGACAACTGGCTCAATTAGGAACAATAGTAATTAAATTTCTTAGACTCCCAGATTCTATTTAAAAGCAGAATATTTTTCTAGATGGTAAATATCTCAATTTTTAAAAAAGAAGACATTAAGAGCAGTAGTTACAGTTTCCCCATAAATAGAAATAAAAAGTCCATTTCAAAGGACAAAGGCTATGATGTACATTTCTATAAATTTTCTCAACACATTATTATAGATCAGTCTTTACTGCTGACATTTAAAATATTCATTACACTATAATGTCTATGATACAATTCAATTATTTAGCTGTGCTCAGCACAAGATCTAGACAATACAAACACTAAGAATCTAATTCACAGAACATTTAAAAGCATTTTATACAGTCTACACACAAATATATCTTAAATTACAATAATGCATACTAAATATGCATAGAGAATATGGCTTACACATTAAAGTAGATCTAAGTTGTGAGTTATAAAGACCTCACTCCTTAGGCTTGGGGCTTAGAAGCTTCTGGTCATGTCCTTCTCTGAAATATTGCTTAGCCTTGTGGAATCTGGGGGGTGAGAAGCAGGTGCAAGAAGCAACTCATTAGGATGGACAAAACCTTCTGTACATCATTTAATTGACAGTTACTCCTGATTCTTTCCATCCAATTTCCACCTTTCATGACGCTCACCATCCCTGAAAGGTATGTACAGTGAAAAGCTACAATATCTAATTGGACTTGACCGTTCTTGTTAGCCAAAACAAGTAAAGGCCCTTAGGCAAGGAAAGACTTCACACATGCTCAGGCAAAACATGGCAAAGAAGCAGAGCCTCTGAGGGTTGCAGTTCATTTCTGTTCAGTAAAATTAAAAAGTTACATCAAATAATGTTAGCTGTACAGAAAAGCATGGGTTTTCATTTCCATATAAACAACTGAGCATGAATACACACACCTACATCACACACACACACACACACACACACACACACACACACACACACACACACACACACATACTCTCTCTCTCTCTCTCTCTCTCTCTCTCTCTCTCTCTCTCTCTCTCTCTCTCTCTCCTCTTATCCTTCAGCCTGTAATATATTCTTATATTCTAATAGGATCAAATCCCAGAAGGAAAATCCGCTTTCCCTTCAAGTGCCTGTCTCCTGCAATGGCTGATGCTCCTTGTGACTGTGGACCTAGAGCAAGCTGTGACCTGCTATGTGGCCACACGCAGGAGTGATACATTAGTGCCTTAGAACCACAGGGATGGGTGCAGGACGATCCTCTGACATCAGGGGAAGGTAGCACTGTAGCTTCCCAGCTGGAGACACAGTGAGGTGTACATCCAGTCACTGTGTGGCAGCTCTCATGGTCGGTGTTGCTGGGACTTCACGAACAACTGAGCAACCTCGAGTCTCTGTCTGTTCCCATGCATTTAAAAGAAGCCAGTCTTACCACACCAGCAGTGCAAGAAAACCCCTTTTTCCATCATTTGGATTTGCTATTCTTTTGCTTCCCACCCACCTCCCCACCCCATTTAAAATTTTGTTGTAGCAGCACTGTGAATAACATAGTGCAAGAAGCACACTGGGAAACGGTTTATCTTCTGCACAAATTAAACGTGACAAAAGTTTGAAACTGTCCGACTTTCGGTGTTAAGAGATTTTCTGGTTTGACTGAAGATGACCAAACTACGGAGGGAAAACAGTGGCAGAAACAGTGGCCAGAATCCTAGTCACAATTCATGGTACTTCTTTGCCCAGTTATTCGATTGAAATTTATGCTCTTATTCCTTACAGAGGAGTCCACTAAACTGGCCTGAGCCAACTGTATGTTCAAAGAGGAGAATATAATATTTTAGAAAGTCAAGGACTTTGCATGGTTTTCATGCTGTTTTCATTTCCCTGAAATAAAAATCAAATGAAAATGGAATCAGAGAAGGGATGAGAAGGTAGGCTGGGTAGATGTTGGTTAGAAGACACAAAATTTCAGTTAGATCACGGAAGTAAACTCAAAAGATGTATTTACAAGTTGCAGTAAATAGTAATGTATTATATTCTTGAAAAACATTGAAAGCAGCTTTTCCCCTAACTACCAAAAAGTGAAAAGTATGGAAGGTTATACATTTAATATTTGGTTTAATTTAATCATTCCATGAAGATTACAGGCTTCAAAACATGTTGCGTGCAATAAATACAAGTTTGGGCATTTAAAAATAAATCAGGAAAAGATAGAAAACATCAATTTAGTCTACATAGGTGTCTGCCACTGAGTGGCCATTTCACATAGGACTTATACACTCTACCAGAAGTAAGAGATTTACCACTATGACTAGCATTTGGTTTATCCGAATTGTAATTCCTTCCTAGATCTGTTCTACATGTCTCTGTTTGCACAGTCTCCAATTTCAGTAGGTCATTTTCATACACTGAAAAGTCATTTCAGTAAACACACTGTTAGCTTGTGTTCCCTACATACATTTTGGGAAAATGTTCATAAATATTGTAGACCTATACCATAAATGGTTAAAAATGCTGACCCAAAAGGTTTTCTGTGTGTGTGTGTGTGTGTGTGTGTGTGTGTGTGTGTGTGTGTGTGTGTGTGATGATGATATATAGTAAACACTGGGTTGCAAATGTCCTATTGGAAAAAATATTGCTTAATTATGCTTTAGTCAGTTTTTTTTTATGATAGTTATATTCCAACAGAACTTTTTGTTACTTAAAACATCTATAATAGTCTACTGTGTTTTCTCAAAAATATACTTTAAAGTTCTGTCAGGCATCAGCAGGACCCAATAATTCATCTTTTAAAATAGCACTCTTATTTTATTAATTATTTGAGAATTTTATGCAATGTATTTCGATCATATTCACTTCAGATGGCCAGGATCTCTAAAGGTAATAAATGTGCAACCTGTGTGGAATGTGGAGAGTCATTATAACTGTTACTCTCAGTGGGCATGAAATGCTAAAGAGCCACTTGGCGATTTGATTTATTTCCAAGCTTCCTGTATAAAACAGGAATCACAACCACCATGGACTACCTGATATAACATATCTAAGATTTTCACCAGTGAGAATCTTTGCACAAATATTGAAGAATGACCTTAAAAGCCAAATCACATTTTAACTCTTTCAAACCAGCATCTGAAGAGGCAATGGCAACATCTCAAGGGTATGGTATGGCGTCTTCAGCCTTTTCCCTTGCCCCCATTACTACACCAACATCAGTACTCCTTACAACACTTGGGATTTGTTTCATATGCATTTTCTTATAAACTTTAAGACATCTGCACTATATATGCCATCCTTTCTAATTTGCTGTTTCTTGTGTGTCCTTCCAAGGCAATAGTTCTTTTTTAATGGACATCAATATTAATATATCAGCTCATTAAAACTTCGTATTTCTACAGCATCATTCCTAGAGTTATCAGTCTAGCAGACTGAAAGCAAGTCCTAGAGGCAAATTTTAAAAACAAGTACCATGATTGTCCATAGATTTCTACCAAACATGATATTTGTATTTGTCGTCAGGAACAGTCACATTTCCTATATAAAATAAAAATAGAAATCAGCATATAAAGAGTTCCCATATGTCAAAGAAAAAGTAATTCTCCATCTTCTCCCATTGTAGAGATTTCTTTACTGGAATCTTCCTCATAAACCCTATAAAATATAGCTTACTATCCTTAAAGTATTAAAACTTTAATCTCAGTAAATATAAACTATGTTGATTTTAAATTTAGTTGATGAAAGAAAGGAATATTTAAAAAACATAGAATATTTAAATGAGGTCCTTTGTCTCTAATGGTGTTAGAAATTAGGTGGTTTTTTTTTTTTTTGTCTAAAAAGTAAGATTACCTCTTATGTTTAAAACAACTGAACTCTTAAAGTTCTTGCAGACCTATGGATGTGTGTCAGCATGCTTTTCTTCAGCATTTCCTAAGTCTTCCGAGTTCTTATGAAGAGCAAGTTCACCTAAAACATCAAACAACAAACAGGTAAGACAAAATTAGCCTTTGGGAGAAAAAAACTAGCATGCCAGGAGCTAGCACTTCATGAAGTGTTAAAGGGTGGGCTTCATAATATATTCTTTGGTGCATTTCTCCGAGGATGCTGCTTGTCTTTTCAGCCTGTGAGTTTACACAATGCAACAACATGTCTTCTTGTGGTTATTTAACCTTTGAAGTTGCAGCTTAGTCTGGGAACACAGAAATGAAACACATGAGAGAAGCATCTGTGAAATCGCACATGGGACTGCATGATTTTTGTGGATATTTCTTTTACTGAAACTAAGTTTAAACAAATCCTAATGGCCAATGTCTTTAACCACAGACTGATTAGCTGCTATGAATTTAAAACAAATTAAATGAATATGAGAGACTAGTAAAGTTTCAGATAAAATAGCCTGCCAAAACAAATTAATGGAATTTATAGTCTTAGAACTTTATATAAACTCCAGCTTTATATAAACCCTGAAGATAAGGAGAGCATTAGTGTGGAAACTGTTCTAATGCTTCCTAAGACATTGAAGAGAATTGATCAAAAATTGAATAATGAAGTTCAGATAAACATAAATGGAAGCTCACGTGCTTCCAGGACCAGTACCAGTACAGTACTGTTTACACTAGATGGACAGGGCAGGTATGTAGACTGACTCTTTATCCTGTGAGTTCATGGGTGGTGTGTTCAGATACTTCTCACTAAGGACCCTGGCTGGATTCTTCACCCCAGCCTGTTCACAGAATAAGAACAGCTGGCTGCCTTACAACTGCTCAGAAATTTGCTGCTATATTTCCAGCTCTCGTTACATTCAAATATGTTCACTGTAACCCTCATGAGGCATTGGCTCCCAAAATGCACTGGAGGAAAATCTCAGTCTTCTCCCCATTGGCTCACTTAACTCTTCACTCTCTCAGGTAAGATTCAATTCCATTCCCAGTGTGCCCTGAGCTACAAACTCTCTCTTTCCCAGGAAACTTTCTTCCATTTATTTGGGGAAGGAGGAAGCAATTCTACATCTCCATTGTAGGGATCTCATGCGTGGAACTTTCTTCATAAACCCATTTCTATTTTCAGCAATTTAATATTTCGTTTATTTGAACTGAGACTAAAAAGTTTATAACTGGGTTCTGAATCTTCTTCGACATTGTTCCTTACAGCTTGGTTTGCTCTCTGACATTTATCATCTTGGAGCCTTGGTTTAAACTTCAGTCTCAATATTCTGTTATTTAAGACCATGTTTATTTAAGATTAGAAGATGACCAAACAGGCTTCACTAGAAAGGAGAAACGACAGTGAAAAGAATGGAAGAACTTAAAAGAAAGTGGCATAAATATTTATCTCATAAAAAAATTGGAGAGAACATTTTATAACGTGTAAGGACACTAAAGTCTACTTCAACCAAATAATTTTATCTCTAGTGAAATCTTATCAGTAAAAAAAATGGAAGATGGACAAAATAATAAAATAGCAACAATGCAGCAATTGAAAAAGATAAATCTTATAATGATGTGCAAATTACATCTAAGAGAAATAGTGTGTGCGATTAGAAAAGCAGTAAGTATTATGACCAAGCCCATACTTTGGCAGTACCAAAGGAGTATCCTTCTTTCTTTCAAACTGTAAGGTTCTAGTGTTTACATGCACACACACACACACACACACACACACACACACACACACACCTGCCAAGTGATTTCATTGAAGCTGGGTTGCTCATGAAAATTACAGGCCTCATATATCTAAGTCATTATTTTAAATGCATCTTTACTCACAAGAATCCTTTGTAATTCATTTGGGTATTTTATGTGTAAGCTACCCTTAGGCATATCATTTGACGTCATCCTTTCAGGAAGGAGGAAATAACTGGGAACCTTCATTCCAGTTATTTTAAATAACCTCAGTTGAAGGCTGGTCTGTGTAAAAGAACTTGGAAACCATCCATGGAATCCAAACTTTCAGACCTTCCTAAGGTGATCTGGCCCCTTCTTATAGTCTGATCAAATGTATGTTCTTCTTTGCAAAGTAAAATATATAAATAAAATACATATAGTTCAGAAAGAATTCCATTTACACTACAATACAATATCAGCATAGTAAGGGGATAGAGTGACACACAGTGGTACTACATGTACCTCTTTGGTAATTCTGTGAATGGCAAGGACTAACTGCACATACTACTACCATATATTTTGTGTTACCTCAGCCCACACTAACAATTTAATTGACCTTGGACTAAAATTGCTGAAATAATGACTCAATAAACTTTTCCTTTTTTTATATGGGAGTGAAACACTGACTGACAAAGAAAATTGGTATCAGAAGAGGAGAGCCAGGACTCTGACGATTCCCAACAGTGTGAGTTAGAAGACTTTAGTACTGGTTTGTAAGGGTGAGTTTGGAACAGAGCAAAACTATGAGGTGGAAAAGATCTACAGTGATGTAGGCACACATTAACAAGAGATTCTAGTGAGAAGTTGGAAGAGAAAATGCCAGTAGGAATGAAGAACTTAAAGAGTACTCATAAGCTTCCAGATAGAAATGAATATTCTTTGGTGAGTATAATAGAGACCACTTGTATTACACTGTGAAGAACTTGTCTACATTCTGGTCATGCCCTAAGGTTTGTAGGAAATTAACTTTAAAAATGAACAGAAGAAATTTCAAAGCATTTAGTTTGTAGTTTAAATATTGCTAGCTGCTTTTAGCCTCTTTACATTGAAACCTAGAAACAAAAACCAAATCTGAAGGATTATAAAAACTTAAATTTCCCAGAAAACTAATATGTTCAAAATTGAGATCAAGGAAGGTGTGTTTGCTGAGGAGATAGGGAAACCAGAAAGAAGCTGCCAAAGAGCTTGAGATGTAACAGAGAGGCAGAACTAACACATACAACGCCCTAGATCCAATCCTCAGTACTGCAAAATTAAGAAAAAGGAAAAATAAGAAACAAGGAGAATGAGGAGGGATAAGATTAACAATATGAGTAACAAGAAGCCATCACCACCAACTATTTTGTACTGAGGCCACAGAATAAGAATGGTATCTTGAGCAGGTCAAAGGTCTAAAGGTATAAACTTAATTGAAAGATTAATTGAACATTATAGAGTGTTCTTCTAGCATAGGGTGACCTGGGGAAGTGTTTCACCTGGCTCATCACTCAGGCACTCAGAAACTTCTGCAGACATAGTTCATGGGACCCTAGCTACTTCCTGAGCTGATAGCAAATCTCTGCATTGTCCATATGACGATGACTTTGCAAGCATGTAGAACAGAGGAGTTTAGGGATCATGGAGGATTGGCAAGTGCATGCAGTGTGGCATGGTTGAAGTCCTTAGGTGCTGGCCCTCAAAGTGTAACATCTGAGACTGTGAGAATGAAGATAAACATGTTTTGAAGACTTCAGGAAGTTAGAGATGTCAGGAACATGAAACATGTACTAAGGAAAGTTTTAGGCAGTTAGTAGAGCCAGTCCAAAGAGAGGCCAAATTACCAAGGGTATAAGAACAGGGCTTTACACATTTCAATGTGTTCCTCAGAAATCAGATACAGAGCTATAGAATTTAGCATTTTTCCTCTTGGGTTTTGGTCTTGCTTTGGTTTTAGCTCTCCTTTTACTTTTAATCCCCAATTCATCATTCCTTGGAATGGCTTATTTACTCTGTGTCACTATATTTTGGAAGATGTAAGCTTCTTTGTAAATTTCATAGGAATTAATGGTAAAGATTACCCTGACTCTCTAAGGAGATAGCCAGCCAGGGGCTGAACATCTGAAACTGAGCCAAAATAAATCCTCCTCTGAGGATTATTTTCTCCAAATTTTTTGTCACAGAGACGGGGAACCTGCCGAACACAAACATGTCATTTCATAAAGTGGTACATAAACTTCAAATTAATAAATTGCCAAATGGTCTTACCATTGAGTTCTGGATAGAAACCAACAATATTGGAAATAACCTATAATATTTGAGGGACTATAAGATCCCATTGACTGAAGAGTCAAAAAGAGGTAACCCTTTCCCAGTTGTGGGGTTTTATTTGCCAACACGTGGTGTCTAGTTGGGGCTCTGATCCTGTGCTATATAGTACCTCCCATTTAAACTCTTGTTATGTGTGTATATGTGTATATTTTAGGAAACTTCCGCAGTACTAGGCTTCCATATGGCTTTTCAGAAGGGCTTTAGTGTTAGTTGTCCATAGCCCCCTCTACCCACCCCTGCATTTGACCCTTCCTGGTCCATTTCTCCTCTTTATTCCCTTCAATCACTGTGCTCGATCTCCCCCATTTGGAAAGATTCCTCCCCCCAAGGGCGCTTACTATTTTCCTAACCTCTGTGGGTATTTCCAATGAAAGACACATATCTAGAGTGTCAAAGCTACTATCCACATGTGAAAGAAAGCATGTAATGCCTGTGTTCCTGGGTCTGGTTTACCTCACTAATGATGATTGTTTCCAGTTCCATCCATTTCCCTGAAAGTTTCATAATTTCATTTTTCTTAATAGTGGACTGTCATCTCTGTAGTGAAAACGCATCACATGTTCATTAACCATTCATCGGTGGAGGACATCTGCACTGTTTCCATTACTGGGCTAAGAGAGCAGCAGGGGACATTTGTGAGCAAGTGTCTCTGTGGTCCTTTCGGAATATGCCCAAGTTGTATAGCTTGATTATGTAGCAGGTCTCTTCGTAGCTTTTTGACGAACCTCCACACTGATTTCCATAATGGCTGCATCAGTTTACACTCCCACGGCTGCTGCACGTATCACAGAGATTGTGATAGTGTGAAAAGAATCATGTACAAGCTCAAGCCAGAAAAACAGCCCAGCATGAGAAGAAGGGAGGTTGATACAAAGTCCCTCCCTGAGTGTAGGTATTGTGGGCACTTAAGAACACTGGAGAAGAAGTGTCGGTTTTCTTTAAGGGTGTGATCCCTGGTAGGTCAACTGTGCTCCAGGGAAGACTCCACCCCCAGGA